TTGACCTAGTGATGGCATTTCAATGCCATTCGAAAGAAATAGAGGTTTTCATATCCATACATGTATATTTATACATATATTATATTTATTTTAGCAAGTGTATAACGTGTATCTAGGCAAATATGTTGAATGTTTGAGCGCGAACGTTTTTATTTATTGTTGCTGTAGCGCGTTTTACAGTTTAAAATGTGTTTATTTTTATATTACTGGTGAAATAAGCAGTTGTTTTAAAATTCATGTACGTAGTTTGGCCACATTTTTGTGAAAAATCACAGGTGTCAAAATAGTTACTCATACGCAGTGTCGCTCAACTCTTTTAGGCCATGAACTAATTTTAGTTGCTTATACGCTATGTGTCACCGATCTCTTTGTTTCTTTTTTACACATTTCTATGTATGTTTGCGTGTAATTATAATGTTTGGCGCTAATTTTTTTCACGGTAGCCATTTGCTGGTAATCGGAAGCAATCTGCTCATTACTTTATTGATACTTACTTACTTCCAAATTGGATTATGCATTCATAGTATAAATATGAAGTCAGCTCACTTTGCAAGCACTAAAAATTCTACGTGTAAAGGAATACTCCTGCAAACGCGTGTGCTTCCACACCAGCATACGTGCTAAATACGCCCAACGCGCCACCTTTTGCTGTGTACGCATATTGCTGTCATTTCCAATTTCGGCAGTACACAGCCAGCCACTGCGTGCACATTTAGCACTTCGACGGCGTCAGAAAAATAGAAGAAAAACTTGCTCTGCCAAAATTCTGTCAAAAATGAAAAATTATGCGCTACCAAACGGAAGTGTGTAAGGGTGTCCTTGGGAGTACTTTTTCGTTTTTTTGTTTTTGGCAAACTGGCGCCACTTGTCTCCGTATTGTCTGCGAAAACAGATCTGCCATAATTGACAATGAGCGTCGTCGCAGCGTCCACCCTCCAACCGGCAGCAGCTATTCCGTAGCACATAGGCTTTTGAGTGCACAGCGTGGGGTCACGCAGTGCGTGTGTTCCCATTTGTCATTTGTTTGCTGACCTCGCTATCATTATTGTAAATGACCTCAAATGGTGGTGGTGGAGATTAACGATTAATAAGCTTAGCTTGCTTGGCACTGCGGTCGTCGCGCCGCCGCCGCTAAGTGTTCAGTGGATTTACGCTTGTGAATTGGATTAGGTCTTATTGAGTAGCAATTTTCTTAGTTACCTCTGTACGCGTATGTATGTACATATGTAAGTATGTATATGTTTGCCTAGGTAACGCATAAAGTGCTGCGCAAAAATTAAGTATCGCATTAGATCCATTTTAAATACTCATTTTGAGTTGAATCGACATTTTAAGCTCGGTTTGTCAGAGGAGATCAAAAAAACTTATGTTTTTTTCCGCTTTGTACCTTAAAAATTGGCTGATAGACACCTCTAAAAAAGACTCGCAAGTATAGTCTCTTAATTGTAACGGTAGGGCCTTTCTTATAGATGTCAGTCAACCATTTCTTCAGAGTGCAAAGTGAGAAATGAATTTAAATTATTTAGTTTTTTTTTGACCCACCATAATATGTATCCTCATTTTTTGATTTACACACGTCGCATACAACAGATCGTTCAAAGCCAAGTCTTTGTATGGAAAACTTTTTTTTTTTCTTCACGAAATTTCCTAATCATTTTAATGAAAATTTATGATTTAAAAAAAAAATAGCGATCGTTAATTTATCGATTATGTTTATGGAATTGTGGATTATTCTTATAGCGTTATATTCATGAATTAATTGAATATTTTTAAGGTTCTATAAATTGTTTTTTTTTTATTTATTGAAATTTTCAATTATTTTTATGGATTTATTGATTATTGAGATTTACCAATTGTTTTTGAATTCCGATTAGTTTTTAGTATTTATCGATAATTTTTATTTATCTACTGACATTTTTTGTTATGGAATTACCAATATTTTTTATGTGTTGACCGATAATTTTCATGTGTGTATCGATATTTTTCATATATGTAGTTAACGATATTTTTTATGTGTTCACCGATAATTTTCATGTATTAATCGGTAATTTTTATGCATTTATCGAATTTTGTTTGTAATTATCATTGATTTTTTGTATTTATTGATAGTTAAGTTTAATTATTTTTCGATATTTTGTTTGTGAATATATCGATGAATCTAATTGCTATGAATTTACTGGTAATTTTTTTTTTATCTACGTTTCAATAATTTATTTTATCTTTGTATCTGTTGATTTATTTTATGAATTTATCCATTATATTTATGGTTTTATTGGATTTATCGAAATTTGACATGGAGGCAAGGCTACAATATCCGAACATATTTTCAGTTCGGACCATACAGCATAAACTGACCGATCAAAATCGAATATCCTAGATATCCTTTTATATCCCTTTGTGTTGGAAGAAAGGCACCTGTGAAGGGTATTAAAGCTTCAGTGCAACTGAACTGAGCGTTTTTTCCTGTTTCTTGTTGCTTCTGCTTTGAGTGTGAGCGCGCGCTGACCCACTACGAATACTGTTTGCATGCGGATTGCTACACTCGCCTTTACTTATGCAAGTAAATATTTGTAGGTAAAAACTCACATATGTTTCCATTTTATTTCTTTTTTGCTTCTATGTTTGTGCACACACGCTAGTGCCTAGGCACTTCTGCGCGCGCCATACTTTTATGTGGCTACGGCAACACTAGGCAGACATAGAGCAAATACTATTTTTTACACATAGTTACACAGAAAGTAAACGCTCATCCAAATGCACATGCATAAGTATTTGAGTAACTGTAACTGTTTAGCAAAAAAGCACATATTTTATACATTTGCCAGCTCCATGCTTAAATACAAATTCCTAGAGCGGGTGGTATACCTGTGTACGTGTGTGTGTTGGTTAGCCTCTCTAAGCTGTAGGTTATCAACGTATGTACATATGGTCTGCTGCGTCTGGCGCCGTTTAAGGTGTACTTGCAGGCTAATAAAAATACATATATTCAGATATCTATACATCTAGCTTGTGTTTTTGCCATTACTAATTCTGCTTGGCCTCAGTCGCTAGCCGCTATATGCTTTTAAGCTACATACATACTACATATACAGCTGTGCATAACTTGCTTGCATATAATTATACAAATCTTTTTCTTTTTTGGTCAAAAAAGTTTTTTGGTACTCCAAAGTTTGCTAACCTCAAAAAAAAAATGTGGGTGTACTATTGTATTGTAGATGTGCGTGTGTGAAAGTACATATACCAACTGCATATAGCCTCACCCGCACCGCTGTCATGTGTAACATTGTCCTTCATCCATTGCTGATATTAAATATTAAAGTTCTGTGCTGTCATTTGTTTTTCCTTTATTTACTTTTTTTTTTTTTATAATTTTCCCCGGTAAATAAAGCTTTCTGTGGCACTCCGCATACATAAATTGTGGGTGGCACTATTTTTAGCAACATTTTGTATGCTTAGAACTCAATTTAAATTCCCACACGAGTATGTGGTGGGCATTGGGCGAACACACACAGTTCAACAGAAGCGATACGACGTGGCGTCTGTATTTACGTTGAGAATTTTTGTTTGTTTATGCATGCAACATGGAGTATGGTGGCAAGTTGGTTTAGATTTTCGTTGGCACTTTAATGATAAGAGCAAACAAGTAACGCTAAATTCAGTTTCATATTGTAGCTGACAGCAGATGTGCTTGCAAGGTTTTAGAAGGGTTGCCAACCTTTGACTTTGAGCGAAAATATGTATATTAACTTGATTTTCATGTTATTGAAGGCTCTACGCTGAAGTAATATAAATACTTTTAGATTAAATTCTATGTTCTATAAAACATACACGTTTATTCAATTGTAAGCAACGAACATTTCTTGGAAATGCGGTTAAAAGTCGTGGAAATCAGTCGTGATATCAATTACATGCGTTATTATAGATTATTGTTTGTTATTATAGATTATTGTTTGTTATTATAGATTATTTTATTATTTATTTATTAATTAAAACTATAATGTTATTATGTCGATTATTTTATTATATCGATTATTTTATCATAAATAATATCTTGCAACGTCGTTTATTTTGTGAAACTACAGTTAATTTTGTGAATATATCGGTTTTTTTCACGAAGGCACCGATTAGTTTTTATTAATCAATAAAGTAATTTGTTTTGTGCAATTGAAAAAAGTTTAATTAATATAAATATCGATTATTTTATTATCGAAAATATTCCAGCCGTCCAGCTATTACTTCGTAAGCATGTCATTTATGGAAATACTAAATATTTAATGGATTTGTTGGGTTTTATATGGAATGTTTTATTGTTTTTTCTAAGGATTAGATTTTGTGGATTATTTTTTTATAAAATTTTTTTTATCACGAATATCAAACCACATGGATTATTTTATGAAAGTGTAAATTTTTGGTGGAAACACTGATTATTTTGATATTTTGTAAAATATTGTCGCAATTAATACTTTTTATTACATTGACGATTGCTTTCTCATAATATATCATTAATCGATTATTTTATTTAAATTTATCAATCAGTTTATCATGTTTGAATTTATCGATTATTTTGTGTCAATTTATCAATTATTTTGTCTGAGTTTATCGATTATTATGTGGATTTATCGATTATTTTGTGGGAATTTTAATTATTTACCGGAAATTTTTATAAATTTTCCAAAAATTTTCATGTATTTATCGATACTTTTTATATAATTGTCATTGATTTAATGCGTTTATATTATTTATCCGTATTTTTTTATGAATATACCGATAATTGTTATGAACTTACTAAATTTATATCTATTTATCAATAATTTTTTTTATCTATTATTTATTAAAATTATGAATGTATCGATTTATTTTATGAATTTGTCGTTTACTTCTTTGTAATTATCTATTATATTTTGAATTTTTCGACTATTTTTCACCTATTATGTGAAGTATAGTAATAATAAATAATTTTACCTTAAATTAACTTTGAAATCTCTCTTCTCTCTTTGCAGCGGTGGGCGTAGGTGGGGCATGTCCCATTCCCTGCCATCCGGCATGGTACGTATACTTTTCATACTAAATGTGTAGCAATTTTTTGTAGTTTTCTTTTAGTTTTTTAGCAAAGAAAAGTATAATTTCATAGAAAAACCTCTAACCTATTGATTTTCTAAAGAACTAAACTTTAATCTTGTTTCTAAGTAAATTTGTTTAGTTGAATTAAGCAAAAGCAAAAGCAAAATACTAATACATAGTATATTAATTAAATGAAATAGAAATATGTATTTTCGGGGCACACGCTTTTTCATATAAAGTTTTCTACTCGAGCAAAATATGTGAAAACGATTTTGTGCGAAACAAAAAACACTCACACAAGTAAATAAAAGTTTCGAGAACATTACAAAATAAAACAATTAGCAAATATCAACAACAACAACAACAATAAAACCAGCTTCATACAAACAACAACGAAGCAGATTCGTACCAATAACAACAAAAAATACAATTAGCAAACAATAATCACATCAGCAACAAGAACAATAACAACCACAAACAGTAGTGATTCAACAATCATGCAATCACCAACAACAAAACAACACCGATAATGCAACAAATAATGACAGAGAAAACTAAAGCGGTACAGTGAGCTATCCGACAAAGTGCCGGCTTACACACACAGCGACACACAAAAAAGTTGATTTACAGACTATTATTTATTCGATAGCATTTTTTAAATTTCCGATATTTTTTGTTTACGGTGTTTTATTGAATTTTCCATAGTATTACAACATTTTTTTTTATAAATAACTGTCGCGTTTTGCCAAATTTCAATTTATTTTGGGAAAATTGTGAAAAAATGCGATTTCTGTAATTTTTTTTTTTATAAACTTCTGATAAGCCTGTTCGAAAGAGTTTCGTGAAAATTTTTTGAAAAAAAAGTCTACTATTTATTTAATATTTCTCACTTTCATCATATTTTTCAATCGCCATTCCAGAACTCACTTCATCAAATTTCGCCTCGAAGCGTACATAACGTTGTGGTGCTGTTTACGAGCATTTTGGTTGGCTTCATTCCGCACGTTTTTGGCATTTGATTCAGCTGTATTAGACTGTGCATTGCTTAGGAATCACGATTGGCAGCTAGCGGTATGAGTTTCGCCACAACATGCCTTAACGGCTGAAAATTAAGTTGATTTGGATTTCGTGTCAAACTTCGGCGGTTGCTTCCCGGCGTTGTGTGCGATGTATGTATGTGTATGCGTATGCGTCATTTCACTTTTATGCTTTCCTTGCACAGTCTGAAGTGCGATAGAATTTGACGCCGTTGAAGGAGGGCAATAAATGTATGGCAAAACTGTTTATGCCAACCCGGTTTAGTATAAGTGTGTGTGTGTGTGTTAAGATTTGTGGCTGCCATCTAACGTAAAATATTTACAAGACATGCAAAATGCACATTAGACTAATTGCTCATAGAAGATTTGGTAGATAAAATCCTCATTTATTTAATGCGAATCGATTGGTGGTGGAGTTTAGACAAATATTTTTGGAGATTTTGCAAAAGAAAACATTTTTCCTGCCCCAAATTCTTCGTAATAACTGACATTAACGTGTGTGTTCTTGGCTCTCTTAAAACAATAATGTGTTAGCTTTAACTTCTTTTTTTTAACGCTGGTTGTCTGCTTTTTTAAGTTTTTCAAAGTTTGCAAGTTGGAATTCTATCATTTGAGGTCTTACACTCTTCGCATTCCGGACGTATGAATCAGCTGCGAGAATCAGCTGTTGACGAAAGGGTAGTAATTTATCACATTTTAACACGTTACTGTTTGCTTAAATTCAAAAAATGTATTTTTCTTTGTTTGCGTGTGTGTGAACAATGCCGCAAAGTGCATTATGAACTCGTTGAAAACTTTCCACACAACAGTGTCACATGTGGTCCCACTATATGGAATATCTACACACAGTTATGAAGAATCACATACACAGTTAACGGAGCTTGTATCCTGCATCATCCATCCATTTTCAATTTCATTTTTAGTTTCACTTTCACTCTTATAACTATTATCTACTACTTGTGTGCGTTTATTGAGCACGCTCCGTACTTTTGCTGTCCTATGCGTTCGTTGTTGTCGTCTGTTACCTCATTACATGTTTTTTACTTAACCATTTTAAGTTTTCTGATGTACTTTTGTGTGTATGTACATACATATGTATTTCAAAATGCGAAAATTTGTTAGCCTGGATGTGGGTGTGTGTGTTAGTATTTCAAAAATAAACTCAGTAAGTTCTAAAAACTTTCAATGTCAACTTATAACCAAATACCCTAAAAATTATGTCATGGACCTTTTGTACAAAGGCACACATTTACATCACGCTACACTGAGAGAATTGGAAAGACAAGTAATAACAGTCAGTGTTCAATTTAAAGAAAAGGTGGTAGGCTGGGCTAGCGAGCAATTCAGTTATGATTATGTCCAATTTTTCGATTATTAATAAAATTATATTGATTATTTTATGTAAATTAATCGATTATTATAAATTTTTTGATTTTGTGCAAATTTATCGATATTTTTGTGTAAATTTATCGATTATTTTGTATAAATTTATCTATTAATTGGCCTAAATTTTATTGATTATTTTGTGTAAATTGATCGATTATTTTGTGTAAATTTATCGATTATTTTGTGTAAATTTATGGATTGTTTTGTGTAAATTTATCGTTTATTTTGTGTAAATTTATCGATTATTTTAATTTCGGTTATTTTATTTGAATTTATCGATTATTTTGTTAAAGCAACAAATTTATTTATATCGTTTGGTGCGCTGGTCATTTATATTTCATAATTTTTCTTTATTTTTGCGCAGCAATGCGCAACTTGTGACTGTTTCTAAATGTTTATTAGCGAGTCCTGCAATTGCCTGATAACATTTCAAATGTGTATATACGATGTTCACACCTTTATAGATTTTTCTCGCTTTATGTATTAATGCTGTAACCGAAATTTCACGTTATCAACACACAACCGAAACTAAATCTGAGTTCCATATAAAGATCCGTATTTAATATGTGTGCCTTACTCTGTTAAGCGCACACCTACTGGCGCACACAGAATTCTTTGCCATTTTCTGTACTTGACTTCCTTTATAAAACTTTCTTGTGTTCGCACGTGTATTAACCCACATACACGCGCGCACGCACAAAACCACATCAGCCTATGTACAAATGGCGTGGATCTTTTGCTGCCATGCGCTCTACATTCGCTTTCATCGCCCAATCTTTCCCCCTCCCATAAAATGCAAGTCACCGTCACTTTGTTTACACTTCTTTGGCTATCTTCTGTCTTTCGTATTAATTTTTAATGTATGAAATTGTCAGCAAACAGTTGAGAAAAGTTGGATATGTGTGAATGAGCCATATACTGCCAGTGAGCTGATATTGTTGAAGTCTTTGAAGTGGACTCAAGGTGGGCGGTGAAATAAAAATGTTTTTGTTTTATTTCACCTAAGAAAACAGTCGCCAAGTAAGCTTTATTGACAGTTGGGTTCTTGGGTGTTTATTTTCATAAGCTTTGGAGGAGCGTTAGGCTAGAGAGAGAGAGAGAGCTGTAAGAGGTTTTGAGATGCAAGCGGTAGGTCATAAATAAAGTTTGAAATCCTTAAGAATTCATTGGAGAATTGTGCGTGGCTTATAACTTAAAGAGTGAGCGTGCTTAAAGAGACTCGTTTTAGGGTTGAATTTCCCATTTTCATATATTTACGTACGTATGTACTCTTTAAGCTTAGCGTTCTTTATTACCATAATTTTATTTTATTTGCTTAACCCGCTACACTAAAGACTCACAACCACTCCAACTCCAATTCACAATTTCCTCATGCAGCAATGCGTATATACAAATCTATTCGACACAACAAATATTTTACAAAATATAAAATTTTTTTATCAACTTTTTTGTGTGTGCCCCGACTCTAGAAGAAAGTTTTTTAAAAATTTGACAAAAATTTCTATTAAAAATATTTTTAAACTTTTTCCTTTATATAGAAACTGTCCTTTTTTTATTTTTCTAGAAATTAAGAGACATATCGTCACTTAAAATGCAAAATAATTAAACATCACTTTTCATACGTTTACAGGCGGAGAAAAGCGATATAATAGAAACCACTAATATTGAAAAAAATTTCAGTTTTGGTTATATATTGGTTATTTTGTCTGACAAAGATTTTCAATTTTTTTTTGATGACACGTTGTATTGCATTTTAGGTGACATTAAAATATTTCATTTTTTTTTTTGTTAGTGAGTTATAGTTTTCCATTTTCTTTTCAATTGTCTGAACTTTTTCGAACTTTGAGTTTATATTTCAAAACTTTCGGTTGACGAGTTTTTATTATTATTTTTTTTTTAGAGTTTTTGCCTTTATATTAATGTAAAACAATGTAATAATATTTTATTATTTATTTATTTTATTTTGTTGATTCTTTTATATTTGGCATACACAATTTTTTTTATTTCCACTAATTTCTTTTTATTTAATTTTGTGATTTGTGTCATACTATTTTATTGTGTTTTATTTCTTATTATTTTAGTACCTACATATCTGTATAACTTTCCAGCTGTTACTATGTATTATTTACTCTACTACTAATATTTATAACTAACAATCTCTATTGCTTATCTAATATTTAAACGAGCCTCTTCTACTTGTCAGCGTCGGTTTATACATATGAAAATGAAAATTTCAAAAGTTTTTCAACTAATTAAATTATAAAGTTGTTATTGTTATTGTTGCTACTGTTTATATTGTCTATTTAAGAAGTTCAATATTTTCTCACTTATGGTTACGTTAATCAATTATCACTATTAACTGGTAAAGCAAGTTAGCATTAAATTCCACATATTAAGTGTAGTATATATAATACATACATAAATATATTTTAAACTTTTTTCATATTATTTATTGAAAATTCAATAATTTTTGTAATAGTAATATAAAAATAATTCAATTCATGTTATTTTTTAAGTTTTACCATATTTTATAAGTAACTTCCAGCAATTGCTGCTCTAAACGAATTGCCTTGCCAATCTCTAAACACAATGTAAAACTTCTTTCGATTATCGTTTTCGATAATGTAGTGTCATATTCTCGTTGAATTTTCTAGTTTCTTTCGTGGCAGTAAAAAGTTATTTCCACATGCAGTAATTTCTGCTATATGTCTTTTTTAAAAGCGTATACACGCAAATATATTTATTTATAATATATAATGTGAGTGAAAATGTTAGTATCACCCGGAGTGTATTTTTATTGCTCAAAGAGAGAATTATTTCCAGCCGTTATAGTTAAGGCAAACATGAGCTGACTTGATTGAACACCCGCACACATGTCACATTAGTGGCTTCAAAAAATGGTTAAAATGCAATGTTGTGTTTACTATTATTTAATGTTTTTAAGTAATCAAAAAATAAAAATAATCACCATAACAAAGTTAAACTAACATTTATTTAATAATCGCGGCACTTTTATTCATGGCGCTTGATGCAAGTTTACTTTCTACATAACAGTTCGTGAATTAAAAATCATTACACTTCTATATTTAAATAGCACTTTTAGTAAATATTTCGTTTAGTTATAAATATTTAACTACATTTTCCGTTTTTATTTTAGCAGCGCGCGTTATAAAGCGTAAAGAAATACTAAACTAGATTTTAACGCATATTTCACAATACATTTTACTAGCAATAGCGTGCATTTTGTATGCCTCCATTTTTGTAGTGACTGAATTTGAATTTTATTGAATTATTTTTCCTAAACGTGTTGTTGTATTGTTGTGCATTTAGTTTAGTTTTTATTGTGGAGTGTTTTTTGTTTTCTGCAAATGGCCAAAGTTGAAATGAATTGATATTGATTAAAGCGTTAAATGTGTTTTATGCTGCATACAATTATTGAAATAACAACAAAATAAGGATTACATAATTTTCGTATATTACATATTACTTACTATTCGTTGTCTTGATCATAATGCATTTGTAATTTTTTTCCTTCACAAAATTTTTTCTGCAAATGTGTTTTGCAAGCGTTAAATTTGTCACCAAAAAACCAAAAACAAACAACAACATAAATTAAACAATATATAAATATCTAAACAAATTTTTTGTAATGTTAAAAAAAATTAATAATGCTCTTAAAAAACTTGCAACTGAAATTCTAATTAATAATTTAAATATTTAAAAAAAAAAATGCAACAAAATAATATTTTCAATACGTATGTATGTATGTATGTACCGCTCTACCAAGTGATATCCTTCAGAAAACAACTTGAAACAACTCAACTTGAACACTTGTATGAAAAGCAAAAGCGCCATCTATTGTATGTTCGTACCTTGTTTGTTTGAATTGATATTTCAGTCACGTTATGCGTTTTCACCGCAGGATACAGATTTCACCTCGTCGTATCCAGGTCCACCAATGAATCGGCGCGGTTATAACGATTTTTCAGGCGGCGGTGGCAGTATGGGTGGTGGCGGCGGCAGCGCCATGGGTTCCATGAACAATATGGCGCCCGCCGCCAGCACAAATTCACTGAATTGTGGCAGCGGTGGCGGTGGCGGTGGCGGAGACGGACTAGGCGGCGGCTCGAATGGCACAAATCTAATTGTGAACTATCTACCACAAGATATGACAGATCGTGAACTCTATGCTTTATTTAGGACAATCGGTCCTATAAACACTTGCAGAATAATGAGAGACTATAAGGTGAGTTAACCAATTTAATATGTTAATTTTAAGAAATTACTTATCAATTATCCCAAACTTTCACAATACCGACAGTATTCACATTTTTCAGTATTTGTGTTCCCACAACACCTAGGTTAATAGATTAATACCACAGCTGTTTTCACATCATTCAATTTACTGTAATATTTAATATTATACTCAAATTCAAATTTGACCCGGACTACTCCATTTAAACTGCGTAGTTTCCCATTGCTTTCCAAAAATATACACTTTTCCCGAATTTAATTTAACACTCAATCATATTTGAATGATTTAATGCCACAATGCCAGTTAGTCGGCGTTCTTTTTTCATTACTTGTTTCTATATTTACTTTATCCATTATGAATTCATTTATTCACTTTGCAAAGTTGATTTTTTGTGCAAACTTTTTTGCATACTTTTTTTTCGTACTTTTGCATTTGAAGTGTCAACTGTCAGCTGTCAAATTTAATGACACACACCAAACGCGCGCGCAAATTCTGCGACGTGCTAAGCGTACGTACGTAGGTAGTGAGTCCTCCGTGCGCCTTTCACTGCATATCAAACACTTCAGCAGGATTACTGCGACCACGAACACACACACAGATACAAAACACAGCTGTCATGGTAGCAATCTGCTTGATGGCCTAACTATCTGTTTGGCTTCCTACCATACAAAACATACATATTTAGGTATAGAGTCCATCCAACCTGCCTCCCATCTACCCACCACGCAGAAAGTACTGCGGCATGCCGCTCAGCATTTTAATATTATTACACTGATGGATGTTGACGATTTGAATGTCGGCTGAAGTGCGCTGCAGTGCTTTTCCTTTTATCACTCATCCGTTTTTTTTATTATTTTATGTTATAATTTTTGTGTGGCAATTTTTAATAAATGTTATTTAATTTCCGTTTCTTTATGCTCTTTTTATCCCTCAAATATAGACTGGTTACAGTTTTGGTTACGCTTTTGTTGATTACGCTTCCGAAACGGATTCACAGCGAGCGATAAGAAGCTTAAACGGCATTACAGTGCGCAATAAGCGTTTAAAGGTGAGTAAAAACATTTTAATATTACTTATTTAAAAATATTTTATTTTACCACGAAGTTTGTAAAACTACATAATCCTCGAAGAAATCGTTCAGATCGGACTACTATAGCATATAGCTGTCATACTAACTGAAACATTTTTTGTAACCGTAAGAAATGCATCGGTGCTACCGAAGCTCATTTTTTTCTTCTGAATTTCGAATAATATTTACTTAAGCTTTTTACTTGAAGTTTATTAGTTATGTTGTTGTTGTGAAAATTTTGTTGCGATTTAATGCAGCAAGCGAGCAAGTTCCGCCCACTCTGCGGGTGGCCTTTGCTGCGAACTGCTGATTTTTTATGAACACTTGGTCAAAGGTCAAGTGAGTAGCAGCGGCGTATCGCAGCTGGCGCACTTGTTTGCTCCAATTTCAATGCGCCGTGCTATCTAACTGCAAAAAAGTGCAAAGAAATCGAAAATGAGAAATACACTGCAAAATGCTGTGCAAAAGGATGGAATAGTGAACAATTAAAAATCACTAACAACCTTTTGCTGTGGCAATGTGCCGCGCTCTGCCCCGCCGTCGCTTTTACTTTCTAAGTATTTCATTTCATATTGATTTCCTTTTGTGTTGTATATTGAAATTTCGATTTAAATTGTAGCTTGAAGGTTGGTTTGGGAAACGCACTTATATGCCTTAGGGTGATCAAAATTCGGACTTAAAATATTTCTAAGACTTGCAATAGATAGGCTCGTAATTGAAAGCAACTTTAAGTCCGATTCGTCCGAAGACACGTAAGCTTAGAGTTGTGGAGTTCTTCCTCTTCCTCTGCTTCCCCCAGCGGGTACTGCATCGAATAATTTCAGAGCTTGAGTGTTTTCGTCCGTTTGGACGACATGACCTAGCCAGCGTGGCCGTTGTCTTGTAATTCGCTGAAGTATGTCAATGTCGTCGAATGGAAATACTCGCCGTGGCCAACGCGCAAAGGACCATAATTCCTCCGCAGAACCTTTCTCTCGAAAACTCGTAGCGCCGATTTATCAGATGTTGTCATCGTCCATGCCTCTGCACCATATAGCGTACGGGAATAATGAGTGACTTATGGAGTTTTGCTCTTGTTCGTCTAGAGAGGACTTTTGCCTACTCAATCCGAAGTAGCACCTCCAAGTTATACGAAATTGTCTACGACTTCGAAGTTATCACTGCCAACAGTGACGTGTGTGTCTAGTCGCGAGTGCGACGACTGTTTGTTTGGTGACAGGAGATATTTCGTCTTGCCTTCGTTCACCACCAGACCCATTTGCTTCGCTGCCTTATCTGTTCTGGAGAAAGCAGAACTAACGGCGCGGTTGTTAACGACAATGATATCAATATCATCAGCAATGGTACCTTCTCAGTTTAGTTCTGCAGCTCGAATTGTTTTCTCGAAAAGTAGGTTGATGAAGAAGTCATGTTGCTCAACGTCAATTTACACAGTCGTATTAGTTATCAAATTCAGACATCGCGACATAAAGGCAGCTCTTTTTCGTGCTGTGAAAAGCAGCTTTGAAATCGAAGAGGTGTCGGAGTCGACACGCATTCTCTTTTCACGGGTCTTTTCCAATATTTGGCGTATGGTGAATATCTGATCAGTTATTGATTTTCCAGGCCTGAAGTCACACTGATAAGGGGCAATCAGTTTATTGACGGTGGGATTTAATCTTTCACACAATCCGCTCGGTAGAACCTTATACGCGATGTTGAGGAGGCCTGTCGCACGGTAGATGGCTCACGTGCCATCACTATAAACTAATTCTTTTGGCCTAATAGCCCAATGTGATGTCTCGCAATGGAAAAATTTAGGGCATTCATTAAAGTTATTTTCATTATGCCCAATTCATAGTACAAAACCCCTAAAACAGCTTTCGTTAAAACGATTGGGGTGCAAAGCTGCAAAACTAATCCCGTCCAGCGTAGACTAACCAGCCGTTCCTTTTTTGTTTGTCACGTTGTAAAAAATTATGTGCCACCTAGGGCACTTCCTCGTTAAACTCGCTTATGATAGTTATTGCCTACATTCAGGCGCAGCCTAAAAACAAAAAAAAAGCAAGTTTTATGCTTGCAACGTCAAATAATCGCAATGATATGCAACTTATTTGGAAATAAAAATGAATAGACTACATCAATATTTTTGAAACATATAATTTCACTGGACTACACTTAAATTGTGTATTTCTAGCTCACAAGCATACTTTAAGGCGCACAACCTACATAGGCCAGTAAGCTTACGACCTATTTTTAAATGCCTCAATTTCACTTGTATACTCATACCATTTCATTCGTCATTCACATTCTATCCTGTAAGAAGTAAATACCGCCGCATTTTTGGTATTTTATTTTCAATTTCATTTTATTGTGGATAAAAATAGAAAATCTGATACTGTCTGTGAGTGCACAGCAATGATGAGCCATGAATGCGCACAAAAATATAGTTAAAATGAATTGAAATGAAGAAGAAAAATAGAAATAAACTTGAAATCCTTAGAGATTTGGCCAAGTGTGCATTTGTGTGGGTTTGTGTTGAGGCAAGCGACATCAAGTGAAAAATGATAAAAAATTTAACGAAACATTCTTACAGTTCATGAAGCGCACGCAAGCGTAATATTAGGTAATTTTGTGGGCGCAGGTATGAGGGCGAGCTGTAAACAAGTGCAGCTCTAAAATGCAGTGTTTTTAAATAAAAGTTGTTTTCTTAGAGGCCTGAAACTTTTATTTTAAAGACATAAAATACAGAAAAATAATAATAATATTTAAAATTTTTTGATTTCCAGTTATTAATAAATAAATTTCATGAAATTGTACGTTTAAAAATAATTTCAATCGCGGGGTATATGATATCGTGACGCCGTTAAATCAAAGCCATTCTATCGGTACCATTTATAACATCACCTTTGGCAGCAAAAACACCTAGTCAATAACTCGCCGAATATTGGATTAGTCGCCACAGTCATAGCAAATTTTTTCGGCAAAGACCATTGAATGGCATGCACAGACAAAAAATAGTCTAACGTAGACACATCACATAACTTAAGTGACCAAAAGCCAAGTCCATTTTTCGATATCACTGTTCTCACCAAATATTAGACTCTTTAGTTTACGCGCTGTATTCATAGTTGATTCATACATATCGATATGGAAGCCCAAGGAGTTCTTGAATTATATGTATATAAGAGTCAATTGTGGACAATACATCCTCACCGATTGGAAGTTGCACCACGACAACGCCCGGCTCACACCGCCTTTCTTGTAAACAACTACCTAAACAAAGCCGGCATAAATATTTATATGCAAATAGAGATACAACGCGGTTTTAAATGATACCCACCCGCGAAAGTGCTTATTTATTTATCTATAGTTCATCAATGTCATTTATTCGTCTAGCAGCAATTTTGACACATTCACTTCAATTCAATATGGCAGAGACAATGTGTCAACGATATTGTAGTTGCTTCACAGAACAAACAAAAATAAAAATCATACAAAGTGTATATCGACCGATACACACAGACGGTTTCGACTGCGTTCACAATGTATAAATAGTAATGCAGATCGGGCGGGAGCTCATTGACAACAAATCTAGCCAATGATGAATGAAAAGAAACAACAATTGTCAAGCTGCTGCTTCTCGCGCGGCGTGTGTAGGATGCGTCGAAGCTGGAGCAAGGCTAGGCATTCGCTGTTCTCAACCGCCCTAAAATGTAAACACGCTGAGAGGGCTGAGTGGAATTTGGTTATGGAAAACGTTTGATTGCTTTGCTATGATTTCACTCGCTTTGTGATTTCTTTTTGTTGTCACTTTTCTTTACAATTTGATACGATGTTTGTGGCTCTCGTATTGTGTAATATATACACAAAGTCATGGCCATGCTTTGCCATTTAAATAGTATTTAAATACGGTCGTTTGCAACTATGTTTACGTTTTGCTATCAGCTGATTTGACAAGTAAATTGTGTTTATTTGTTTTACAGGTTTCATATGCTCGTCCTGGCGGTGAATCGATTAAGGATACCAATTTGTATGTTACGAATCTACCACGTACAATAACCGATGATCAATTGGATACCATATTCGGTAAATATGGCATGATTGTACAAAAGAATATACTAAGAGACAAATTGACGGGCAAACCACGTGGCGTTGCATTTGTCAGGTGAGTTCAAACGTTTCCCTTTATTTGTAAGTTATAATTTTTTTAGGAAATATTCAACGGCATTAGTCCACTCACACATGCTTCCAATTGGCACCTACCGTTATAGATTCAATAAGCGCGAAGAAGCGCAAGAGGCAATTTCCGCTCTGAACAATGTCATACCCGAGGGTGGATCTCAGCCGCTCACTGTACGCTTAGCCGAGGAGCATGGCAAAGCGAAAGCGCAGCAATACATGTCACAGCTGAAATTGATTGGTGGCGGCGGCGGCGGCGGTGGTGGCGGAATGGGCGGTCCACCACCACCCCCAATGAATATGGGCTACAACAATATGGTGCACAGAGGTAGACAAAATAAATCACGTTTCCAAAAGATGCATCCCTATCATAATGCACAGAAATTCATTTAAACGATGAAAAACTTTTATTAATTAATCGTACATAGTAGTAGTGTATGTATGATGAATATGAACGATAATAACTTTTGCTGGTGTAGAGCAGCGCAAAAAGCAGCGCCTTTGATGATGTTGATATAAGAGTTTTTTCTTTATTTATGTTTTTTTTTTGTTTGGCAAAGCGAACGCATGACGCATTTTTAGAGACAAACAGACGGTCAATGCATGAAAGCGTGAAAAGCTGAGCAAAGAAGAGATAATATAATAATATTTTAAAATATAAACGTAATATAAACATTTTTCCCTAAACTTTAAAGCTAAATAATAATAAAAAAAAAACACAAGCAGACGTTAAATGACGTTAATATATAATTTTTTTTGTAATTTTTTGTTTAATGTTTCTTATACCGTACCGTACGTAGAGATCTACTATAAAAGAAAATACGATAATACAATAATAATCCGTGTGGCTTTTGTTTACGAAACACTTTTGCTGATATACGCAAAGTAACGTCAAAACCGAGCCTAATGAAAGCCTAAATATTTCTTTCTCTTTTTTATTTTACCGGGATGAGTATAAGGTATATAATATTTAAGGGGTCTGCTGATTATCAAGGTTGCGGCAATGTTTAAGGAATATTTTTTTTATTTGCTGAAATAATTCATTTAAGCTGAATTAAAACACACAAAGAAATATTTTTAATAAAAAATATTAATAGTAAAATATAAA